CTTCCAGGAAAGACTCTTTAGAAATTCTTTCCCCAGTAGAAACTCATCACAAAAATGTCACTACTGATGACAGTTTTTGTATCACTGTTAAGTAAAACCACTTTTTAAACAACTTCTTAAAGACGGCAATATTTGAATGCTAAACAATTAAACTCACCCTTGTCTGTCAGGTTCTCCATCAACCTCCTCATCAGCACTACAGGTGGCACTCGAATCATTATCAGAATGGGTTTCTTGTCTTGCTGTATTAACTTGTTGTGACAGACTATAGTCCATTTCCTCCGGTTCTAACTTTTCCTTGGGTTTCTCCATCTCTCTCTCTTTGGTATCACTCTCTATTTTCACTTGAATATTCTCTGGCAGCCTCATTTCAGTCTCTACAGGTTCTACTTTGGTATGCACTGGAAGAGTAATCACAGGCTTAGCTTCAACTGTATGGCTTCTACTGTCAACCTCCATAGGCTCTTCTGCCTCATTATTTACTTCTTCCTTAACCTGTGGCTCAGGGTGCTGACTTTCAGCTGTTGATACACTTTGGGCTGTTACAGAGGGAGATGTGCTGGCTGCAGGTTTAATGGCAGATTCTTGTTCTGCTGTTGCCTCAGTGGTCACTTTCGAAGCAGTGCTCTCGGATGGAGTTTCTTCACTTGGTTTAGCAGGTTCTGCTGGAGTTGGAGATGGAGCACTTTCTGTATCAGAACTATTTTCAGCACCTGGGAGTAAAAAAAGTTTTGGCATAAAGGTGCAACGTTAATGAAATCTGATCAGGCCTCGATTAACTGCTCCTTTATAATAATCAAATACATGTCTGCTGTCCCAAAACACAACAAGACAATTGCCCTAAAGAATTGACTCACAAAGGCAGAGTAACCAAAAATCAGCAGATATAGGTTAAGGAGAGAGACTGGAATTTCCGAAATAATACCGCATTGCTGGCTCTGATCTTATAGAGAGCCAGCCAAATAAACTCTTCTGCCCATGTCAGAGACTCGGTACTTTCATATATCATGCAGCTTTATTACAAGATTAGAGTCAACACTCACAGTACCTAAGGGGCAGCTTTAATTATTTAAATTAACACGTTTTAGAGGCATCACTCGCAGAAATAGCAAAGCACTGGTTTTACATGAAAATCAGTCACATTTTATAGACATGCTGATTTGCAATTCTTGCTGTAAGTTAACAGTTCTAGTTTACTTCCTTTGCGGATCACCATTATTTTCTTGAAACCGTCTCCTTTCCTCTGTGAAAAGTGTCAACAGCATCAACAACTGGACACCCATTATAGACTGGTATTGATTCTTGCAGTAAAGAACCTTCCTCCTCTTTTTAGCCTAGTTCATGAACTCCATTATATTATATATAGCTTTTAGATAAATAAAAACATTTATGAAAAACTATGGCCACATCTAGAACACAGATGTTATATTCAAGTCTTCTCTTCTAATAAGAATCTTTATCCCTTAGAATGTTTGTTAAACAAATAGATGCAATAAGGATCCATCAATTTTAACCTACCCATCTGTAAAAAAAGTAATTAACTTTGGCTTATTATACATATTCTAATTCCATATATATACACACTTAAATATTTTATTATTACTACATATTGGTGAATTACACACAGTCACAAACACACACTGCAGATAAAAAAAACCAACCCAAACCAAAACCAAAACAACCAAACCCCAAAATCCCCAACACAGCCCTATTCTCTGATTCATCATTTATGAATTCTGTTGCTTGGAGCTTCACAAAAGGCTGGCCAAGACTGACTGATGCTGAGTGCCTATAATTATTAGCAGTTGCAACCAACACATTAAAAAAAACCCAACACTTAAGTTTGCCTGTCTGAAGCTTTACTGAGACTATGAACTACCAAAGGCTACAAATCTTTGATTCAACTTGTTTCAACATGCAACGTTTTTTGACCAAATGCTGTCAGTTTATCCTCTAGAAGACAGCATAGTCAAAGCACCTCAAAATCCTACGCAATAACATCTTAAGGCTGCTCAGTACTAAAAATGCTTTTTCCCTTCCAGATATGACCAGTGAAGTGAGTTCCAACTGATAAAATCTGACTGAAACAGAGTATTTGAGCACTACATTATGAACACAGATTTCTGAGCATATAATTGGCAAAAAACATACATCCCTTTCTGTGCATACAGAAGTTTCCTTCTTCAAAAAGTTACCTTCACTGTCTTCTGGATTCTCTTCTTCATTAGATGCCTCAATATCTTCATCCTCCTGAGCTGACACAGTCGAAGCCACACTCTCACACTGTGATACATCTCGCTCCTCACGGGGCCTTCGTGAAGACTGATGAAGAGAAGGGATTTACATTGTACTGAAAATTTGCAAGTATTATTTCCTTTTACATGCATTCTCATTTATCAATCCCAGGTTGAAATGAAAGGCAGAGAATATCTATTTAGCACAGATTCATTCACACCAGCACAGTCTTTCAACTTTAGGGCAGCTTCTACTGCTCCTGATCAAAAATAAGTTTGAGAACACACCACTGTCTCAAGATACATTTGGGGGACAACAGAACTACTGCAGCAAACACCGATACTGATGGTCTTCATGTCAGTGAGAGAAGACTAGGATAACATCACAGTTTGGAGGATTCCAACACTCAGGATTCTACTTTAGATGCTCCAAATCTTTCAGTTCCTGGTCTTCCACCAGTTTTCTTTCTCTGTTTTGTAAGGTTACTGCTTATTGTGTTTCAAGGCAACTGTTCTACAGCGATGACCTGAACTTCTATAGTTGCTGGTCTAGTGACAAGAAACGTGGTTTCCAGAGCACTCAGGAATTCTTCAGGCTCGAGTGTTCTATCTGATAGAAAATTTTCTGTGGCATTTCAAAGCAAGAACTGGTTATCATCGCAGGTCAGTGAGCATCAGCTGCCTTTTCTAGGAGATTTATGTCACAACACAAAAAACAAGTAGAAAAGGAAACAAGTGGTGATTGCAACACAGTGTTGGTGAAGCACGCTGAATGACTTCAGAAAGATGCCAAGTTTTCCCCTGCAAAATATTCAGTGCCTACTGCACTTACCTTCTGTTTGTGCTGTTGGAGGAGGCTGTCCAGGTTGTGTCTCCTTTTATAGTTGAAGTAGAAGTTCTTACACTGAGCTTCACTTTTTGTCCCAACCATTTTGGCAATTGCTGCCCAGTTTCGTCCATGTTCCACTAGGCCTGTTCAAACATACAAGAACCAATATTTACCATGATAAATAATTCAGCTATCCAAACCCAAATAAATGGAACAATGCCTATAGGAAGGTAAGATAGAGAAGTATTGCTGTCCTTAAAAGAACTCTCACGATGACAATGTATTTGATAACTACTTATGGCATGAGAAAAAGCTGTGTCAACCCAAATGTCTGCTTATGAGGCCTCCAAACTTAACTCTTTGCTGTCGCTAATACGTAACACTTCTGCTAAAATACTGATTTTATGCATAAAATTTACAGGTAACAGTATCTGGCCAAATGACTAGACAAGTTACAAACTACACTAGCTTTTCTATGAAAACAATTTCTTATACAGAAGGAATTTTTATAACTTATAAACACATTACTTTGAAAATTTACATATGACATTCACATCTGTTTCACAGACTTCTACGGATCAAGTACAACATCAAACAGTTCTAAGTAGTTCACATGCAAAAAGTCAACATGAATCTCAAAAAACTGATTTTGCCTGTTCAAGATATTTTTTTTTTTAATGAAACAGCAAATTTCAAATTATTTAGCATAGTGTTGCAAAAATATCACAGCACTCGTATTCAGTAAATTATTGTAATTTTGTAAACAGAAGTACTCAGAAGTAAGTCAAAAGCTTTACAAAGCTTACCTTTCTTAGCAACTTCCATTTCTTCTTCTGTCCAGCGGGATGTCTCTACAGGCTCTGTAGAAGCTGAAAGAGAAACAAAAGCACTGATCAAGGAAAAAAACCAGGATTCAGTATTATGCCACTAATCATGTATCCCGCAGTCAACTAATCTATTTACATTAAGGCTTGTTCAAGTCACTTGGGAAAGCTGCTCTTATCAGTGGGAAGTAGTTGGTCTCCATTAAACCAAGTTAGAGATACAGTAGGAACCACCAGAGTCTCAGAGCAAACCGTCCAAGACTATTCTGCCTATGACACTGTGATTATCTGCAGAAGACAACTTGAAAGTAATTTAGATGCATTTACCACTAAAATTTTATTTAGACTATCAATAATTACTATCAACTACTAAAAGCAGCAACCCAACATGCTAGAAACTAGTTCCATCTTATTTCACTGACTGCTGTGGAAAGGACTGCAACAGCTATTTATTGATAATGGGTAACAAGAAATCTACTATTCTTGTATTCACCGAGTTTCCTACTAAACAAACAGGGAAAAAGAAAAGAAAACAAAAAACAGTAAGCAAAAACAAGCAGGAAATTAAGCATGATTCAAGGCAAAATGCTTTTCATTCACTTCTCTGGATTTGATATCATTCTGTTTAAATTTCTGAATGGCATTAAGCTGCAACAGCCTCAATTTCCTTTTCATAAAATCTGACATCACACATAGTATGCTGCATGGACCCTTCAACAACTTCCATTAATGAAGAATAAAAGTAGGACACTATAAAGTATCTGATCCACTGAAAAGCTATTTTGGATTTTCCAAAAACCCTGCAAAAGTGGTTTAAAAAAAGCCCTAAACACAAAAGCAAAAACCACTATTGCCTTAGTCTAGGTGCTGACAAAAACCCACCATTTCAACTGAGCCAGAATGTCTATCGCAATCTCTCATGTTTGCAGTTAAAAAAGAACAGAGTAAGTGTGCAAATTAGTTCTCTAGGATATGCAGAATATCTGAGCAATGGACAGAGTTGCTACAAATTCCAGAATAGCAGCTGCCTGTAACTACCCAGTTGAAAAGCTAGGAGCAAGAAACTTTGCCACAGCAGAGCACTGCAAGAAAAAAACAAAAACCTGCTCCGCCATCATGGATAATTATTTACAAGCTACAAGTTATTCTGTTTGCTAGTATTTCTGCACCACCACAAATTATGTCAGCCTTCTCAGAAATGCAGCCAGAGAGGGCGCCTTTTTTAACCATATGTGCCAAAAAAGTAACATTTTAAACAAGTCTCTTGCCATCTAATGCAGAAACAACAACGAAAACAACTTGCTAGGATCTATTTCAGATTATGAAACTCGCTAAAGCACTCAAATATCAAGCCTACTTGTTTAACAATAACCTCTGTGAGCTATAGCCTGTAAGTCAATCTGTGTGAAAGGCACTTGGATCTCTACAGATCCATCATTAACCCTGCAAAGGGAGAAAATGCAGTTATCACAGAAAGGCTGAACTGCCTTTCCCCGGCATGGTTCTACCAGAGCCATCTGATTACACATAAACTATGCATGAAATTACGCTCAGGAAGTTTAACAGTACCACACAAAGTTACAAGCAGGCCTAACAATACAGATGCAATACTAAACAGAAAAAAAAAAAGTGCACAGAAAATAGCCGTATGTCAGTGAAGAACCTGACAACCAGATGGGTCCCCGAGCGTCCTATAAATGCTACTCACAAGGTTCTGGCGGGGGCGGAAGAGGCGGTGGTGGTTCTTCAGTGGCTGCAGCTGCAGCAGCATTTGCTTGTGCAGCTTCATTTGTCATTGATCTGGTGATTCTGCCCTTACGACGACCTTGACTATTGGCAGTTTTTCGGCCCCTAGGAGCGGCCTGCTCCCTTTCCTCTGTTTCCTCTGGTGCAGCTTCAGTTTTGTCCTTTTCTTTGGTATTCTCTCTGGGAGTAGTTAAAATATAATTCAGTCAAATTCAGATAGCCATTATAGGCAGATATTCCTGAATATCAATGTAAAAAAATAACCCACACCCAAAAAACCCCACAAACAAAACTCCACAAACTCAAAAGATGCCTTTAGTGAAACAGAATTCACCTACTGCCCACAATTTAGAGTTGCTAAAGAATAACACAGATACATGATATTATCAACTTCAAATAAAATCCGAACGTTGTGACAGAACATATGAAAAAAACCCCAAACCAACAAGCTATGAAAATTATTACATGTGCAAAAAAAATAATCCCATGGCTTCTTCCACCAGTCTGACTAGTTCAGCAAGACAGAGAAATTGGTGTGTCCAAAAAACACCTAACCTAAATATGAAGAGTTTCCAGTCCAGATTTCACTGTCAGGCTAATGCAAATCCTGCTCTGATCTTTGCAAAAAACTACAATCTAGAGTGAATCAATGCATTTGCAGTACATATACTTACTTAGATTCCTCTTTCTCGTCCTTTTCCTCCTCATCTTTCTTTTCCTCCTCTTTTTTCTCTGCTTTTTCTGATTTTTCCTCTTCTACCTTTTCTTCTACCTTTTCTTCTTGAGAAGGACGAGCAATTTGCTGCTGAAATGAAACGGGATTTACACATTATAGCAACATGATCACACAAAGGTGCAGCAACTTGTACTCAGAGCAGCACAAACACTGATGCTACCTTAGCTTCCACTTGATAACATTTTAAGTTACAGTCACTGCACACCTGTCAACATAACCATAAAATGCCTCTGACAAAAACTGTTTACACCCTGAAATCATAATGAACGTGATATTCTAGGCATTGCCTCCCAGACTTCAGGAGTCCCCCTTGCCACAAAATGTGCAATTTCTATATACCTGTATATCCTCAATACCTCTCTGTTTATTTTCTGTTATGTTTCTTCAGATCAGCTGCCCCATTCTTCAGATATGGTATTTTGTCTTACAAACTCCATGGAGGCACAGGCTTCTTTTGCAGCACAAGCACAGGGGTAATAACGTACACGTACATGTGTCAACACATGTGCTGCTATATGCTATGCTAAAACCGAACACCTACGTTTTAAAAGCGCTTAGAGAGGTCTGACCAACATCCTGCATAGTAATGGTGTTGCTCCTCTCAAATTTTATTTTTAACGTTGTCCATTTTAAAATAGTGAAACATGATAGCTTACGACTTGGAAGCAGAAGATCATGTAGCATGAAAATTACAACCAACTCTAAGTCACCTTCTCAAAGCTGTTGATAGTAATTAACAAATATAATTGTTCAAAAAATGGGGTCAGGAATTTTAGACTTACGTTTCCAGTGAATTTACAGAAGGAAAAGTATAGCCTAGAATTTTTTTTAAACTATAATCTTTATTGAGATTACAGTTTTACAAGCATATTAAGCACTGACAAAGCAACTACCATTTCCCATTATCCTCCTACAGAAAACAGCACAAAACACTATTTAAGCATTCCTTGTTAAGGGACTGTTGCTCCTTATCTTTCAAAGCAATCCACATGGCTACTGCCAAGTGCAAAATTCTGCCTTAAATATAAAATTCTGCCTTTCCATAAGAAACTATGGAACATAAGAGAGGACAAGGGTGAGGAGTCGGCTGTGGCCACACAGAGGGAACCACTCACAGGAGTTTACACTGAAGGGGCTTGAATGGGTTAAACAAACCACCTCAATCAATCGAGGTTCAACACCCGTTCAGAAGAACTGCAATAGCCACATGCTCTCCATTCAAATTTGGTGGGTACAAAACAGATTTTTTTTCCTTACTGAGTATTAGACTCTGCAAGTCAACTTCAAAAAGCAAAATACATGTAATATTTATATAACGCTACCTTTCAAACAAATACCCAAAGTACCCTTGGCAATTCATGGAAAGACAAGGACAGAGATCTCCAAGATTGCTGTTCTAGGACTTCATTAATGCAGATTTTACAGTCCACTGAAAAATTCCTCAAAATAGGTTTTTCTTTTTCACAGAGGAACCAACCTTCCCATAAGTGTAGCAGCAGGTGTCACTGTTTCACTAACAAAACTGAGGCTGGAAATAAAAGGACTTGTTTTTGACATTCTAATAATGTGAACTGGAGCAGAAAACCCAAACACTAACCACTATCATCTCCCTGCAAATTATTACCATTAAAGATGCTGGCATTACTTGGTTGTGCAAAAACTCCCTTCAAGCATGATGTCAGAGACATGCCAAGATAAATTATTTCCATTTTGCTAGATAGATTGGCCTCAAAAAGCAGGGAATTAAAAGTAGCATTTTCAGAAGGAGAAAAAAAAATAAAAATCTGTATTTTACATATTATCTATTTACAAAACAGTTGCTGAAAATCCTCTGTTCTTTTTGCCTGGCTATCTTAACATCACACTTTGTAAATAAAAGGATTCTCTATTTCACAGTGAATTTATTTAACATGCATAATCAATAGGTCAAGTGCAGGTTAAACACAAACCTTAAAACAGTCGAAGCCTCGGTCAGCGACGTACCTGCACATTCATCTGTTGATAAAAACTTTTACCAGCCAGGCAAAGGGACGGGCTTTAACTCAGGGTACGATTCAAAAGGACAAAAACCACACCAGCACCGACATCACACAGCTCTTTAGCAGAGGCTGCCTGACCCAGCAATGTGTTTATTCCAGGAAATTGTGTCATTCTGCCACTTAAGCTGCCTACGGCAGAGTTGCCCATCTCACATACAACGTTCTAATCTCACCGGGGTCAGCTGAGGCAATCCCCACCGAGCTTGGCTTGATTGGCCGTCGCAGACATACAGCAAATTTCTGTCTAGTCAGATCACTGGGCTCTGCCACCTGCTGCAAAGGCACACGGCTGGATCCACAGAGCAGCGTTTCTGCTGACCAGGCAGCTAGACTGCAGAAACACCAACTACCGCTTTGCTACCAAAATTTCAATGAAAAACTTTACACGAAGAGAATCTCCTTTCAATGAGTTATTTAAGGAATTCTCCATAATCAATGCAAAAGCATCATGTAGCTGCATTTTCTTCCAATACTATGTGAAAAACTTGCTCTTCGTTTGACGTCACATTTGATTTAAGACACGCTTGTTTAGTTGCCTCTGTAAGCATCCTGGAACAGTGCGGGCAGCATTTTACAAAAAGGCCTTTCTAGGCGTATTTGAGGACAAAACTATTGGAATTCAATAAGCCTTGTATCTCTTAATCTAGCATTCAGATTCTCTAAAGTAAAAGTCTCCACGGTGAAACTTGAGTCAAGTTATACTCACTACATTCTCTGAAGGACTTCAACATCATTACTATGATTAATATCTTCTCCACTGCAATATACCATTTGCTTGCCTTCTAATTTACAAAAATATATGAACTCTTAAGAGTTTAAGCTGAAGCACCTGTTATTGGCATAAGCACATCTTGGAGCATGTCATAAATCTTACACAACTTGTATTTGCCCATCAGCAAGGAAGTTTCAGGTTGCTACTCAAAGATATGAAAAATATCAGCTTCAAACAAAGCTGGGGTGTGGGAAGGAGACGGGGGACGAACTGCATTCTGCAACCATAAGATAAAAGTTCTGGCAAGCAGGGCAGTTCAACACTCTCAAGTTCTTTTTTACTAGCTGTTATACATGTCGCTAATTAATCATTAATAAAATTAAGGAATACAAATATGACTTTTGGTACAATGTAATTCCTTACTACAGTGTTATAAACATGATAACTACAACACTTCTGAATTTAAACTTCCAGAAATGGTGAAATTTCCCATTTAGAATGTTTAGAGTATTTCCTTGGGTTTGCAAGTATACCTCAACATTCTGCAGATCTCTCAAGTCTGACACTTACCTGCACCGTTAACAACGAGCACACATTAAGCCTGTCTAGTTGCCCAGAGTTTAGTGATCTGTAGTACTTGATGTGGGTCAACAACTAGCAATTAAGACCTACAACTCTACTAAAATTCAAAGAGCAAGTAATTTGAATTGAACGAACAGCAGCTTCAGTGCTCCAACTCATGTATTTCGTTATTCACATATAAATCAGTATGCAGAGGAGCAGTTAAGAGTCACGCAGAGCACCCTGGGTTTCTTTTCATAGAGCTAAGTTCACAAATCCATGCCCTTGTGTACAGGGCTGTAATTAAAATCTTTTTAGTTTATATTCATTATCCAAGCAAAGCAAACAATTAATGGATTGAGAAATCCACCCTAATTTTGAACTCTACCAGTTCCAATATCCTAAAGTTTAACACTGTTGAAAGACATTTAATATACAGTTATAATCTTCAGAACATCTCAAAATTTACAGGTAAATTGCATTACAGCTTGAGCCAGTTCTGTCTCCCCACCTCCTAGAACAGCCACAGAAGAGCCGCACACAGCAAAGATATTGCTGAGCATGTGTACACTTACTACGATCACGCCAATTTCATTTTATACTGGAATATAAAACCGAGCCACTTAAAACAGCATCATTATCTGTATTTATCGTCCACAGTGATTGTCTGATGAGATTTTGGACAATCTCATTTACTTCCATCCTGTATTTGCCATACATCCATACTTTAATGGGAATCTTTTATCACCAGTCACACAACAATGCACTTTCCCTATTAAAAAGCATTATTAGGCTTAGAAAGCCTAACAGAAGTTCTGACACAATACAGGGCATTTCCAGTCTTTCTCCCATCACAGCAGTTCACAATTAGTCAAAGCAGAAGCTCTAACTAAATCCTGTGCATAACGAAAATGACCTTATCCCAAGGAATCCATAATTTGTGGGGTACAGAAAAGTAAGACTTTTGTGACACGATCTTTTCTCTTACAACACTAGACCATAATTTAAATGGTTTAAGTACAACCGCTGTTTGCAGCAATTTTCTTTCATATATATATTTTTTAACATATATATAGAAAAAAATCACACTTGCTGGGACTTTCAGAAAACTTACATTATTTGAATTCACATACCCTGATGTGTAATATTTAATTAATTTGCTGTTTTGGAGTTGAGTACAGATTTGTGCAGTCACAATATCTCAAAGTCTCACCAATTTTCTCTTTTGGATTGCTGCTGAGCTATGACTAAATCCAATAACCCACAACTCTTCAGATTTTAAGGTCCGTGCGTTTCTAAAACCCTGAATTCGAGAGGACTCTTCCCTCCTGCCCCCACCAAGCTTCAGTTCCAACAAAGCCCTGGGGATTTCTTCAGCACGTTGTATCTATACCAGCTTCCAGCTGTTAAATTCCTTTCAAGGATACAAACTCAAAATACCTGCAGGCTTCATTGTTTCATCTACTACTCTGTTTCTGTACTTTATTTCAAATATGTCCTTCTTTCCTAACCTCATCAATGATATACCTTTCATTCTATTTTCAGTACTTCCTAAATACCCGATAGATGCAAGGCGAAATCAGAATGGGAAGAGCAGGGAACACATTCAGTTAATATACAGCACTCCTGATTTCTTTAAAAAAAAAAAATGTGCAAAGTTTAATTTTTCTTTTTTTGTTTTCCAATATCCACATTAACCCTGGTAGCCTAGCAGATGTGTTTATATGCTTTTTGTAAATAATGAACTGTTCTTTCCCCTCCAAAGACTTCCAAAACTTCCACAAGAATACTTCCTGAATCAGCAGAATTTTTCATTTGCATGCATTAAATTGGTCTCTTTCTTCTTGTTATTAAGTTCCAGTTTGACTTCGAGCCTGACCACTAAATAAAGATCACTATTAATTTCTGCTTTTTGACAAACACTGCATTATGAAATTATATATTTTCCACTGCAGGTCACATGCTAAACCTAATTTCTGTTGGCTCCTACATGGGATTTAATGATGGATTTGACTTCAGCACATATGGCAGGGTCCTCAAATAAAATCAATTCTTATATTAAAAAAAAAAGTCACAAATGTGCAAAAGAAAAAAATATTTCACAGCATTAAAATCAAACCAACCAAGAACACTCTTGAGGTCAGGAGTCCTTAAGGTTAAAGAGGGTAAAAATGTAGTAAAGGAAAAATAATTATTTTTCCTTTTTCTTCCCCTACTTCAAGCATATAATATATTTGCTATATTGGAGAGTAAGACAGATGTAAATATGAAACAATGAAACAACAGTATTCAAGTGATGAAAAAATTTCAGATACCTGGTTTCTTCCTCTGCGTTTACCATAATTCCTTCGCACAAGGGCTTTATAATTTTCATTTTTCTTGGTCAAATAATAATATAATACACAGTCGGGAACATTCTGAAGTGAAAAAGCAAAAAAAAAAAAAAATTGGGTTTTACTGCTATAAAAAAAATGGGTTTTAGTATTTAATTTCTCTCAACACTTAAACTAGTCAGCCCCTAGACTAAAATAAAACTCTATTAGATTTGTTTGCTCAGCAGGGAAGTGAATTCACACACAAATAAAACAATATAACTATGCATAAAATTACAGTGTTAAATGCCAGTCTCATGTATTTATAATATCCCTCAGCTACTCCAGTCTGCATGATTTAATCTATACTAGACAATTTGCAAGTTTGAAAGCTTCTATTTATTATAATAGCCATATGTATTCAAGATTCTGTTTTAACAAAACCTGATTCTCCATTACTTCTTACATCAGTTCTGCAAAATCAGTTCTAAAGACTAAAATGAGTTCTAAAGGCCAATTCACCCAGCAGTAGGATCCCACTGACTTGAATGGTGGGGGCAAGATCTCAGAGTTAGCACAGTGGCTCAGCAGAGCCAATTATGTCCTTATCTAAACACTGACAGTTACAGCAGCTTACCTGCTTCAAAAAGAAAATAAGATTAACACTAAATGAAGTGCCATTTTCTTTTATTGTTGGCAATATTGTCACTTCACTAACTTTGGTTAAATGTCTGCATGCACTGATTGTGTTACTGATCAAATATTATAAAATAATGTCAAAGCAGTAACCTCTTTTGGACTTTTTTCCAGGAAGAGAAAATGATGCTGGGATAAATGACTTACATTTGCAAACTTAGGGATCCCACCCTAGGCTCTACTTACATTAAAAAAGGTCTTACCTTTCGTTCCAGGTAGGAAGCAATTAGACCAAAGTTCTTGGGATGTTGGACAAACCTTTTATAAATCAGAAATTATTTAAGTTTAACAACATAATTCATTATCAAATAAGCAAAGCAGTCTTCCATATAATCTGTTCCATCAGCAAGCCTTCGATTTACACAACTGAAGTGAGTCTAAAAACCCCAGCTTTCAAATTGTGCAAATTTAGAACTAAGCATTTAAAATTAGCTTATTAGCTGATAGAGATCATATACCTACTCTTCTCATTTTAATCTTAGCAGAGAACTAAAGTATTTCTAAGAAAATTTCTTATCTAAGGACTACATGCATGCGAGCCTACTCAGTTGAAAAATAAGTGGAGAAGCCTAAAACTTTTGCAATGTTTCATTCAACCAACTAAGAACATTATCGAATATAAGACAAAAGCTTCAGCATTCCCAATTTAACTGATGTTAACTGGGAGGTTAGGTATTTTACTGACATTTGCAATGTAATAAAAATAAATTATAAGAAAGCCCATTACTTTTCTTTAAAAATCTCTTTCTCATGGTCGGTCCAGACATTCATGAACTGTCTGTCTTTATAAACTTTCATGGGATCCTCCATCAGACCATTCATATTAATAAACTTCACTCGTCTTTGTTCTGCATCAAACATCATGGGAGGAATGACAGAGAGCTGACGCATTTGTTTTTCATTATTCTACAGGCAAAGAATAAAAGAAAAAAGTAAAGAATACAAGAAGTTGCTACTAGTGTTTACAGTTCTTAAATTACACAACTCTGTAAAGCTTCACCACAGTATACATTAAGCGTTAGTTTAAAACTTCTTTTTGTCCATTTCTTAACTCTTCTAGAAGCTGTCGCTATCCCAATGAACATTTACACAGTCAGCTAAACGAAAAGGAAATAGTGTCGCAAACAACGAAAAACTAAAATGGTGCAGGGTTTTAGAATGCAAGAGTTTCCATGTGTTTGTTAGAGCTGTAAAAAACTAGATTGTAGCAAGCCTGCAGTGAACACAGACACATGAGAAAAATCTGGGACAGATACAACTGGGAAGCACAACCCTTAAAAGAAAAGTATTTGTAAGACCCATTTCAAACCAAAGTTCAGACTCTCCCAAACCAGCCCAAAAAGGTTTCCCTTATCAAAAATCCTCTGAAAGAGACCCTTTGCTGCCAGTAAAAGAATATTGAGCCACTTGCTGTGCTTCTATAGCAAGTACCGACGGTAATCTCACCTCCTGCTCAGAAAGTCCGTCAATGATTTCTGAAATCTCATGTTCACTTCTAGCAATAGTTGCTGAAAGTCCAGCCCCTCTTTGACCAACTCTAGAATTAGGAGAAAACAGAAGTAGTAAGGATAAAGTGGAAAGTTATATTTTCAGATTTTGTACACAGCAATGACAACCTTCAAAATCCTTTAAAATATTGTTACCTGTCTCCCAAATTAGTTAGTTAGGACTGTTCTTAAGTAGTGTCAGAGTACAAACTCTGTTCATGTACTGCAATTTCAAACAACTGCTCAGTTTTACAGGTGACTTTGCAAGGTTCAGCAAGAAGAGCATGCTTGAGGCAACACCAAGAAAGGAGTGCTAGCACCGATTCCATTGCAAGTAGGTGTTTTAGATACATTAACAGGCTTCTGCTGAGTACCAGAAGTGTTCATCAGTGGCACACACACTGTGAAAGACAGCTTTTTCGATTTATTTTTTAAAACTAAAAAACCACACTAACTTTGCCTTTCATCAATTTGGTCAAGTTACTAATTCAGCACTGACACTCTCACTACAAGAAAGGAAAATTTTTAACGTTTGAATTGATGGGGAGAGCTGTAATTTGGAAGAATTTTTCAGCTAGTGATTTTTACACTTAACAACAGTAATAATATATTACAGCACGTGGGTCAAAAAGCATTTCAGAGATCAAAATGACTGATAGAGAGACAGAACACCTTCATTTGCTCACAGATTTTACTGAACTAATCAATTTGCATAAAATCTGCCAAAAACCTTAGTATTTACAGAGCAATAATATTACAAACACAGCTACAAAGATGCCATTACACTAGAGAACATAAACACAATGTAAAGAGACGGCTCCTTCCCACATAGGTTGCAATGACAAAGACATGATATATTCTTAAAGTAAAAGCCTCTTATAGATCGGAGTTGTTTCCATTCTAACAATTTGCTTTCTTTTCCTCTTGTCTTGATTCCACAAAGCCAGATCACACAGCCTTCATGATACATTGCAAACTATCTACTTTTCCTATGTTTTATGATGTAAGGTGATCTAGACAAAGAGTTAGAAGAGTTGAGATGAAATCTTCACGGGGCTTGGACTCTCAAAGGTGTATTAAAATGATGTCAAATATTAGATAAACAGATTTGAACACAACTGAATCAAACTTGACCTAATTCTAATTTAAAGCACTACCTACAGCACTGTAGATAAAGTGAACTCTCAAATGGATTGCACTTCATTCCTTTTAAGACTCTCTGTACAGTTTCCATTTAACAAATGTCTGATGGATTAAAATGAAATCATAGACACTTAATTGTCGTAGCTTGCATACTTCAAAAAGCAAAAACGTCTGGAATAAAATTACATGGCAAGTACAACAAAAGATCACTCAAATTGTTAATTAAAGAAGTCAAATGATTTTTGAGTGGGTAGGCTAACAAATATAGGGATCGTGAAGCAAAGGAGTAACACAGACACCCAGTGACAGAAACATACTAGGTATAAATTAGGGCGTAGGCCCAAAATGAACAGGCTCGTGTGAAGCTGACACTGCAGTTATCGTAAGACCGACTCCACAAACCTCTCGTGCATCTGAGCAGCTTAACTCGTATGGTCTCACTGAGCACCACAGCCTAACTAGCCTTTGCTAATTAGCCCTTTTTCTGTATTACTTTTGGAAAATACAGGTTTTGATGGCAGATCTAGAAAGGAAGACAGGAAAGGAATAATTTGGACATCACTAAAGCAGCCCAAGAGGACACCAAAGCGGTGAGGCTAGCACCGCTGACAAAACTGATCAGGAGGGACAGGAAAGGGCGAGGTGTAAGACAGTGGACATACAGGAAGGACAGCCATGAAGATCCTCAGGATGTGAAGTGAAATTTGAGCTCTATGCCATGAAACATAGTGAACAAATGAAAGAACATTTTACTTTATACTGTATGATACACTAATATTCTTTTTTAAGGAATGAAGTTATGTTCATAACACTTAACCACTAAGCTGAGCCAATTTAACCAAAAATAATTTCAAAACTTAAGTCCTAAGAGATATTTTATAGGAATATTTCAAATCCATGGTAATACCTTTGGAATCGTTCTTGCTGTTCTCTTTGCTTCCGGATTTCTGGAAATTGTTTTTCATAGTACTCTCTTGTTTTGCTCTCCTTAGCTTTCCTGCGTGGATTATTTTCTATCCTGTCAACCTTCTTCTCCCATGCCTCCATCAACTGATCATAACGTTGACAGATTTTCTGTTCCTGTTAAATTCCAAAAGTAAACCTTGAACTCAACACAAATACACTAAGTGATGAGTACACATAACATGGGTAGGCTCCAGGAATGAAGAGACAATTTTTTCCTGTTCTAGTGGCTTTCCATTTTGAAGATGACATACCCTATCTTCAGCAGAGAGAAGGTGAGGAAGTGCATATAAAAATGTAGATTTTGGATATTACACACTATTTCTTTGTTTTACACATCACAATGGTATTTGGTAACCGTTATTACTGCCTTCCAGAAATCTCACATCTTCTGGTACCAGGCTTTTAACGAATGGAATTGGTTCAATTTTTATTTCTTCTATTTTCAATTTTTAATTAACAGAAAGGGGCCAGAATAATTGCAATATGTCCTCAATCTCAGCAATATGTAGGAAGCTGCTCCTACATAAAAAAAAACTAGGACTATACAAAGAAAAATACTTCATTACATTTTCATGGTGGAATCTTCTAATTTGATGTATAACCTTGTGCTATTCTTAATAATAAAAATGATCTTTCAGACATCATCCGGAAGAGCCTTTTGACTTTGTATGCCACTTGCTACAACAGCATGCAAGAGAAAGCATTAAGTCAATTAATACTGGTATCCCACATTCACAAGTTTGATTAAAAATGCTGTCAGGCTTCTAAAATTGGAGATGTTCCCCATTTTCTTTCAGATGCTATAGCTACTATACAAGAAAAGAAGTTCAGAGAGAGGCCAGGCATGACAGTTAAAGACTTTCAGTTCCTCTCTTCTATTCATACTCTTTAAGAAAAGGAAAGAAAAAAAGCTTTTTGCTTATTGTATTTTAGATGGTTTTCAGTCAAATAATCAACAAACCACAGTTATAAACCTGCTGTTTATTTTCCCGTAAATCAAGAGAATTTGAGCTTAAGATCTTGTTTTTCTGATCAATGGGATTTTCATGACACATCTGGGAATACAAGTCAAGGATCCAGACAGAAAACCACCCATGTGTTCTTTATACAAAAACATGGTAGTATTACCCGTTGTTTTCTTGCATGATTTCTTCTTTTAAAGAATAGTATTAGCTTTTTCCTCATCACCTGGTTTCTGGAAAACAAAATTGAAAAAAAAAGTGAACTACATAAGAAACAAGCCCTCCAAAACTATCCAGCAAAGCCCATATGGATTCTAGATGCCAGAGCATTATTTTGAAAAATATTTTCCAGAGTAGAAAAACAAAGAGAAAATTATTCCTGGTTAAATCATCTAACTAATATTGGTTTTTTATCAGAGAGAAGATTATTGATGATGGCTTGAATCAGCAATTGAGACACTAAAGCTTCCAATTTCAAGGTAGGTGCTCTACTTTGCCACAAGAGAGATAATACACTAAAACAAGTAAATTCGTCTTAAGATATTATGTTTTGGGGGAAAAAAAAAAGTATCTTTGTAATTCCACCTTTTCAAAAGAAGCTGATTTTTGTTGTAATGGAGTGATCACTATTTTGGTATTCTGTAACACTGCTACAGTGAAACCAATATTGGTTTGACATAGCTGTGTAAAACTGAAGTTTTATGATTTTGTCTTTAAGTTAAGATGAAAAGTTACTGTTTCCTTCTGCCTTCATTACATACAACTCATGTCTTGCAGCACTGTTCTACAACATAGAAATCAGAAAGTTATATGGACTGGAAGCTTTTAATGATGGTTAACGTACACATGTCCTATTTGGAAATCACAGCAATGGAAATTTGAGCAAATGTTTAAGTCTAGATCTCTTAAGTAGGCACAATGACAAGATATTAAAGCACTTACGTTTTGATGTTTTCATGGTAGACCTTTGTGTCTGATGGTTGGTTGTAAAGTGGCTACAATTTCGGATTAGAAAGGCAAACTTAGTACTTTTCAATGCATGTAATTCTAAAAGCATATGCAATGTATTTAACAATATCTTAGTATTCCACCAACAGTGCACTCAATCCGAGATGCAGCAATCTGAAGGGACTAGAAGGTATTTGACACAAAGCATTGACTTCTTCACTTCAAATTAGATCCTTACAACTATGTATACAACAGTATTTTTTTCATATTTCAAACTGTTCCCTCAGATAGATTCAAATCTGTTTTAACAATTATACTTATGCAGCCAATCAGTTCACTCAAGCCCCAATTCACCAGTGCATTTAAACACACACTTCTTTTATACATAAACACAGAACTACATCTGTTTACCACAACAGAATTACAGACAAAGCAACACTGCAACACAGAAAATAGAGAAAAAAAAAAAAAAGAAAAAAAAACCAAAAAAAAACCCAAACCCACAACTTACCAGTTCAACTTTTGGACCAAGACCTTCAAAAATCTTGTGAGCTTCTTCTGCTTTTTTCTGCAAATAAGATTTTTTTTTTTGTATACTCTAAATAAATCATTTGAAGTTAGTGTCAAAAGTGTATCTGAACTCTTTCACTTACGCTAGCTGTTAAACCCCCGTCTGACCACACTATATCCTTCTTAACCTACTTCTGCAATGTCACCTCAGCAAATCAAGAAACCTGCACATGAATTGTGCAGTTACTATTCTGATCTCCATGTCTGTAAGCTGGTAAGACCATAAAAGCAGAAACTAACCTCTGCAGATCAAAAAGAACATGCATTTAATAAATAATACAGCAAATAATTATTAAGAGGAGGAAAGATGTCCAGTAAAATGAAGAACAGCTAGCTACCTTTGAAATAAATGGAACTAAGAGACAAAAACTCTCCAATTGCAAAGGCTGGGAGTGTGAATCAACGTGTACATACACACATACAGAAGTATGTCAAAGGTCCTCCTTCCTTCACACTAGGAAAAAGACCCCAAAATAATTCTGACCCTAAAGGAGGTAGCACTGGATAAGACAGTTGGCTTTCACAAATTCGTTTACACAATCTTCCAAAGCCCTTCATCTGTAGACAAGGCTACCTGAAATGACCCAACATACTAGTTCAGATCTGCTTCTTTCCCTGAGTAGTTGTATGTGCTAGCCCTAAGACATCTGCAAAGAAAAATAGAGGAGAAACTAATCCATAAAGCACTTATTCTTAGAAAGTGTTCTGCTAAGTTCTAACCTCTTTCCATGTAATGTAAATCTTGAGAAATTCTTTGGAACTCACAGCTGTACAAAATAATTATATATCAAGGAAATATTCTAGTATTACGCTGGTAGAATGTTTTTTCTGGTCTCAAAACATTTTAAACTGAATTCTATCCCTATTACTTTAACCAAATTTTAGCCAACAGTTGAATATTAAAAGCAATCATCCTAAACTGCATGGTTTGAAGGTGAAAGCTTCCAAGGGGACCGTCCCCCTTGTACAACTGCAGAAGAAGAGATACCAAACAAGTGCTATGTACACAAATGGCTTCATACATCCTTAATAACCCTTTAAATGACAGTGAGCATTGACACGCGCTATTTGCATTAAGCCCCATCGCTACTGCCATTCTAAAGTGTGTGTAATTCCTGATATGAGGACTCAAACCAAGCACTAAGATGTCTTCAAATTCACACAGTTTTCCCTACTATTTAACATACAACCGAGCTTGAGGAAGTGTTGTATGGCGACTGTATGATTTTAATACTTTTTAATTACACTATTGTGTGAAAGAGATTTAAAACAGTAAAACTGGTTTGTAACCAAAAATAAACATGTTGCTCTTGCTTACACCAGTTTTTATAACATAATAGTTGTCCTAATGTCCTGTACTAAGTAAATACACCAAATTTCACAGACAGCTTGGGGAGGGAAAGAACAGCCTGCATGGAATAGTTGGAACAAAGTTCTACTGTATGAGATCTAGTATCGTGTTGCAGTTTTTAACCATGTCAAACTTCCAAAAATAGTCTATTGTAATAGAAGTTAGCTGTTCCTCTGAACTACAAAATAAAATTGGGAAATCAAACAAACATATACCTCTCTCACAAAAGATTACAATAATTTCAAAACCAGTAGATATACAACTCCCTAATCTCAAACTACCAAGGGAAAAAAAAGCAGGAAGCACTTTGCTACTGTTGGCGATATTACTGAGCTCCTGTACTTTTATCACCACTTATGCAACACAAGCTCAACAGTTCACCTATATACTGCTTCTTCATATCTGTTCATTTATCCAAATCTTAAGTGCCAGAAGTCAAAGTTTAAAAAGAAGGCATAGAATCTTACAACATATGCAGTTTTTCCCCTTCAGCTAATTTAAATGTTGGGTCTTCAGCCAAGCTTGTCAGTATTTATGTGAGAAAAAGTGAATTAAAGATAAATTTCTGAAGCATTTTTTTATATCTATCTACATATACACACACAAGTGCAAACATATCTATCTGTGCACGTGTGTGTAGACAGATATAGATATACAGAGATATAACTCAACACAGAAGTCTAGGGATGAGACCCATAGATGTATTTCACTGGACTGTTTGTAAGACAGAAGGAGGATCCTGTGATCAAGAATGAAAATGTCATTCAAGTGTGTTTTATTTAAAGCAGCAAATGAATATTAAAAGAGGGGAGGGCAAATCAGTAAAACAGGAGAAGCAAAAATTGCCCCATGGAAATGAATTATGACATAATGAATTTTAGCACATTGGGTCAGACTTACAGCTACACTCAGTCAACTGAAAAGCACGCTTACCCGATTTTCATCGTAAATAATTTGGACAATACTGCGGTGTTTCTGTTCCACGGGAGGAGGGGAGACAGGCCTCTCTGGCTCTGGAGGCTTAGCAGCTTCTTCTTCAAGTTGTTGCTAAGAGACGAAAGAAAGAAAATCAGCCATCCGCACCATGTTACCCTTACCAGTAATTAGTCACCAGAGATAAAATATGCATCTGATCAACACTTAGCACTGCCTGTTATTTCTCTTCTTAACTGACAAGGAATGAATGAAATGGTTTTAATGCCAACTGTAACAACAACAAGACTACTTTTTGTACGATTGGTAAACCAAATTAACAGTTTACAACTCATCTGCATTGAATCAGACTTCTTTCAGTTTGACATTTAAAGCCACTGTCGCGTTGTAATTTATCACTATTTAACTGTACACTAAAATATTAACTTTGGAGAACAGTTACACCAAGTCTGCCTTCTCCCAGATGAAGTAATCCACAGAGATGTCTTTCTACATTGTAGATATTCAAGTGTCATTACTATTGTCCTATTTTTAAAAAAGGTACAAAAGTCCTTCTAACAATCCACAAAGAACATCATTCTAAACATACCTCACAGCAGAAATAAACCACTCCACACATATTGAAGTTCCAAGACTGTTACAATACCAAACAAGCAAATAAAACCTGTACTATTTTCCCAGCTGCTACACTGCTATGATTTACTTTCACATCACATAAATCTGATTCAGTGACATCTTCATTTTTTAATTGCAAATATCCTTCATCCTTGTCTGCCACAAACACACAACAAAGAAATTCTGACACTAGCGATACATCTTGTCTTACAGCACTGGCTGGAATGTGCTATAATTACAGAGTCTAAAATTTTTTCACAATGCCACAATAAACGGGCTCATTTATTGCAGGCAACAGGAGCTTCGTAGTTTTTTAAGTAAAATCATAGTGCAAACATGCGCAAATGAACCTTTACCCATGATATGCATAGTACTTGCTGATTTTGTGGAAAAGTTAACAAACAAACAAAAAGATAACCATCATTAACACACAGCCAGGTACTTAGTGACATGCTTTTTTGTTTTTCTGCTGAAGGTCACTTTAGAGGTTGGTAAAATTCAGACATAATTAAATATTTCCAAACCATAAAAACATACTGCTCCAGAGAGCTATTTGTTATCCTACAGCTACAAGTTAACAAACCCTATAGCATAACTCTCATTTCCTACAGAGTTCTCACTAAAAAAAAAAACCCCAGAAAACAACTTAAAGCTGGCACTACTTCTATCTGGATCTTTGAAAGTCATAAAAGGAAAAGGAGACAAGGACTTTGTTTTTGCCAATGAAGAACAGATGCCTAGATGGAAGGGTGGGTTTAGTTGGCCACAACAGCTACTGGGAAGTCAACAACTGCCAGCAAACATTTCCTTTGCTTCCGCTGGCTGAAATGCAGTTCTTGGATGCAGAGCATAGCCAGGACCATACCAAAAACAAGTGAGATTTCCTCCTTTATTTGTCTGCTGTCTCTGTTTACTCACACCCCTCCTACTACACTTTCCCCACGGCTGACCTTAGCTCCAGATGTTAGGATCTCTGGCCCTTGTGAAAGCAGATGATCCAGGGACTTTTGTACAAGCTCTGGTTTTGGAGACGCATGCAAAGGATCCCATTGCACAGACTGCGAAAATAAGATGACAGCCTCCCCTCACCCACCAGTCATCTTTAAAGCTGAAATCACAGTAACAGTGCCCTTGTTTCACTAGTCATCTAACAAAAATTTACAATACAAAGCCATCTAATGTTGGCATTCCTATATGACTTTCTCATGTTTTCAAAAATATTTAAAACTACATTATATCCGCTCTACTTAAACATTCTAGCAAAATCGTATAAACTTTTTTCAGCTTGTTCATCTGGTTCACGTACCCAAAGAATTCACCACCACCATCACCACATGATGTATTTCCACACCTTTTTCACTGGCAGATAACAACAGTAGTATCTGCTATGCTTACTTGCTTTTTCTTCAGTTTAAGAATTTGCTGTTCAACTTTTGCAATTTCGCGATCTACACGGTCCATGCTCTGTATCAATTCCTCCTTTGACAGCTTTGAAGGTGAAGCATTTTGGTCCTCCCCACAAGGCTGACCAGAAATTGGAGAAGATGGTCCCTCATGCTTTCCTCCAAAAGCCGGGTCCTTTCACGGGGACAGGGGAGGTGGGGGGAGATGGAGATAAATCAGTCATATGGATAACATGTGAATGAGTATTCAGTAACCAAACTAGCATGCGTGAATTAAAATTAATTTCTAGTTATTTATCTCTCTGTTGAGGAGCTACCTAAGTGAAAGTTTAGTATTTGAGTTTATTAATGCTCTTAATATTTTAGACAAGTAATCAACTTTAAAAAAATACGGTGCCTCTTAGCTTTTGAATCCATATGGTGACATTTTTCTTTAAATGATCCAAGTTTAGAAACTTGAGCGCTCACCTTCAGAAGTCCCACCCATTATACACCACCTTTTTGGTGTGTTTGTCTGGGTGCTTGTGTGCATTCATGAGAGAAGGTATTAAATACTCATTTAAGAGACATTTGTCTGCTCTATACAAATTGCTCTAATCAATATTCAGTATCTACAATAGAAAATATCCACACTAACCTAGATTGCCCTAGACTTACCCAAAAAGAGACAGTGACAAGTATAATTAGTGTTATGTACATAAGCAGATTCATTTCAAATCCTCTCTCCGAAGGCTGAGGGGAATACTTTGACCATCCAGTACAAATATTAATTACAGAAAAAAATGGACCTGCATACATGTGCCAGCAGCTTTCAACTGAAAAGCAGAAATATTTCATGCACTATAGTATAATAATTTTGCAACTGAGGTTTTAATGACTTGAGAGTGTAGGGGCAACTCAGAACTCCAGTCTCTTTACTGTGTTCGAGGTAGATTTATCTTCTTGTTCTTTTTATAAAAGAGCAACACTGAATCACAACCACCATTTGTGATAGTGTGTAAAATTAAATTCATGGAATTAAAGAATGAACCTAAACAAATAAAAAAAAAACCTAACAAAAAAAAATGATTAGGTGATTTCAATATGGAAGTAACACCTTCAGTATCATAACAGAAAATGGCTTTACCTTCTTAATATCCGCAGATCTCAATCCTTCCTGCAGAGGATGCACTAAAGGCAAGACAGTAGCTGCACTGACACGCTGAAAATGGGAATCAGAGACTTGTTCAAGACGTGGTCGCTTAGATTCCAGTGAATCATGATCTGTCTGAGACGGACCTGGATGAAATTGCTGTTCATATCCAGTTCTCCTTTCCTGAGGCCTAACATATAGAAGAGATAAACTATTAAAATATACATTTTCCACACAAGAAAACTAGGTGGTGTTCCTCAACCCTTTTCAAATATACAGGAGATGCAATTTAGTGAAGCTCCTTCTAAACAGCAAGGCAGGCAAATGTTTTTAAATATTATCTTCAAAAATACAACATTTAAAATCCATTGAAAAAGACCAAGTCACCTTGAATCTTAAAAGACACTGTTTAAATGCATGCCTATCATTAACAAACCCTTAAAGAAGCTAAGCACTGCTACAATGATATTGTTCAAACCAAACCTCTGATTCAAATTACAAACAAGAAAAATCCATGAAATAAATATAGTACTACACTACACTGAGCACAGATGGCCTCAACAGGCCCATTATTTCATTTTTTTCAGTCAAATAATTTCTAAATACACACAGAATGCCTGAAACGAGCCACGAGTCTATCTGGAATTTGATCTCTGCTAAACTGCCACTACCATGACAGAAACAGTCATTGATTCAATTCATGAGTCGTTTAAAAACTCCTCCTCCTCAGAAAAACGCAAAAGAAGAGTATCATTAGCTTCCTTACAGTGCAATGCACAGGATGGCCACAAAAGAACCTTACATGCTTCAACATCTTCCTATGAAATGCCACTGAAGAGATGACAGTAGTTTCTTGTATTTTGCCAGAACTACTGAACAAGCTTTTACAAATTTACAATGCAGGGTGGGGGAATTTACTTCCGCTGTAAACTGAAGTTTTGAGAACTCTAAAAGCTACTGTGATTCTCAGCACTAAAACAGAGCCTTACTGACATTTCGGTGACACAAGATGAAGGGAATATGCAAGCCCCAGATTTCACTAATATCAAGTTATTTCTGAGAATATTCTAATGAGATTTGAAGCTAGACCAGTATTTACATAACATTCATCACTGGTATTTGTTCAGAATCAGATACCTCAGTTATAGCCAAAATAAACGGCTAGCAGTAATCCAGGCATATAAAGTTATTCCTAGCAGATATACTTACTAAGAGTCCAAAAAAAAAAAAAAGGTTGTTAGAAGCAAGAACACTTGCTTACAACTGTACATCAGCATACTAATACGCTACAGAATTGCTGTGCATACGTCATATAGTAACCTCTCCCCTAAACAGAAACATAATCTTGCTAATTTACTATAATCCAATTAATTTTATTCTGATCTGTAGTGGGGTTTTAATTTCTAAATTTGGTTTTCAAAGTACATCCAAAATTCTTCAGGTGTATATTCAAATGAACGCTCAATACAGTCTGAAAACTTTTTTGGATCAATCAGCCTTACAATAGTATTAATGTACATTTAAACATCCATCAATATCCACTATGAAGCATCCTGGTTTACTGAGAAATAAGATACTACCAACCTGAAACTAAATTACAACATATGATTCACTGTAGTTGTCCACTATACTCGTCCTCAGTTAACCTACCGGACCCCAGATCAGTTGCATCTATGCAGACAGAGACAGCAATGGTATATGAGACTGACAAACAGGGTACTTAGAACAAATGATATGAAGCTGTCAAGTGTCTTGCCAGAAGTAGCATATGCTTTGATTTAGTCCTCTGTGCCCAGAAGTCCATTTTGTGCAAAACTTCAGTGTTTTACAATTCTTACAACTCAAATACCCAGTTAGCTCTGTTGTTTCTTACTTGCCCAGCCACACAGATACCATCTGTTGACTAAGCAATCCTAACCTAGGAAAAAGGACAGGTAATATTCACTCCGTACCAATTCTTGCACTTGTTGCTTTCTACTTGTTAAGATTAAATTATCCAAAGTTACGAACTTTACACACTTTTACCCTAAACAGCATTAAAGAGTTTGCAATATGCACTTGGATTCTTAGAAGCTTACTGGCAGTGTTTGTAAGGAGAGGTGTGGGAAAGCAAAGCAGACTGTCACTTCCTGTCCGTGAAACAAATATATTAGTTAAGCCAAAGGGACCGAGGAATTACACAAGAGCTACAACACTCAACACAGGAGAGCGGCACCATTACAACAACGGAGCATAGAGTAACGAAGTACCTAGGCAAAAACTGTGAAACTTCAAAAACCTTTCTATTCAAAAGTTAAAACTAACTTTACAGAAAGCACAGACTCACAGAAGATTTATTTTCGTACTTCAAACCCAACATCCTCACCTGTCAGAGCCTGGGTGAAACTCAGAAAGCAAGGAGGGCCTGCGCCGAAGCTGCTGCTGCTGTTGCTGCTGCTGCTGTAAGAGCTGGGTTGCCTGACTGACTTCCAGGTGAGACGAACGATAATCGGGAACTGCAAATTCCTAAATGAAACACACTTCTGATGTTAACAAGAACAAAGGTGTGGAAGACAGGATGAAAAGTTTTCGGCGTCATGGAATGATCATTTGCAAAGCTATTAAATACAGACCAAGACCAGATCACAAAAGCCTTACTCCAGCTCAAAAAACCAAAGTTTGTAAATGTCAGTTCTAAGTTTTAAATGAACTTTAAAAACACTAATTGCTTATAAATAAATAAATACAAGACATGCAATAGCTCATTACCCACAAGATTCAGTCTTTACGAATTATCTAAAAATAAATAAGGAGCAAGCCAAAAAGCTCCAATTCTTGAATTTCCTTTTGCAAACATGTAAGTAGAACAAAACAACTAAAGTGTAGCAGGAGGAGAATTTCATCTAAACAAGGGAAGCCCGAGCTGTTGTAAAGCCAACAGCTAGTCCTCCACAGCCTACCATGCCATAGAGAGCACAGCGTGGCAGAATAAATGCTCAGCAGAAATGACCAAGTAGGAGATTCTTAGAAATCCATTCCCCTAATTCTGGCTAACAGAACACAGCTAGCTCGAAGTACTAGTACAGCTGCTTCCAAAAAAATTCAGAGTGTAACACAAGTTTTTACATTTTGGATTCACATTGTCCACAGATTGCACACAGATTTTGTCAAGAACTATATTTATCTTACAGAGAATCTAGCCCAATACTCCTTATGTAGAAGGCGAGATGATTATGGGTTCGCTTCTTCCGCTTCTGGGCCTAATAGGAGATTACTTCCCCATAAAAATTTAGTACCCACAAATGCCCTAAGAGACCAGCCTCTCAAAGGATTTGTTACACCCAGAACACTGCATTCATATTAATTGCATACTAACTGTAGACAGGCTATTTGCATATTCTTGGAAAATTACTGCTATCAACGCATACAGACTCAGCCACACTCAGCTGGCCAAATTTAGTATGATGACTAAACATTAATAAATTAAAGCCAAAAGTTTATGAACACAATCCTTAATGAATTTATTCAAACTACAAGAAACCAATGATATAACCAGGAAGTTCATATTAATTTCCCGTGATAAAGAAACAGAATTATAAAACTCAGTTTTCTGTCAAAAAAAACCAGATAAAAAAGCAGATACACTTTGCTTTGAAGAAGCAAAATGCAGTGCTTCCAGCAAAAAAAAGGAGGGCAAAACAAAACAAACCACCTCACAACTATTTACCTAAGCAACACTGGCAGCAGTTCTCCTCAGCAGGGAAAACACTTCCTTTGCCACTTCAAGCATTTATTTGTATTTGATTTTTCAACATTAAGAAAATGTAGAGGAAGAATAAAAAAGACTCAACCTACTGAGGAGGCAAGATTCTCAATGTACAGTCTTTAAGAGAGGCCAATTTCTAAAGAAGTGTTTTGCCAGTTTGAGTAGATTTACAAATGTTAAATAATGGGAAATACTGCCAAGCTGTAAGGTTTTATTTAGGATAACTTCCCAGTTCTCAAGAGCATTTTTTTAATACTAGCCTATGTAAAAAGAAACAAGGGGTAAAAAAAAAAAAAAAAAAAAAGAAAAAAAAACCAGGCAAAAACTTTAAAAAGCCAACATTGCAGTCAATGGTAGTCAGGGATTTTAATAATTTCAGCTACAGCACTGCAGGAAGACATAATTCAACAGGTAATTATATCCTTTCAAGTTCATACTTCAGAAGGAAAACTAAGGAGCAGTACATGGTTACAGACTGTACTTCCCAGAAGTTAAACCATAGTCAGACCCTCATTCAAAGACACAATATACTTGAATAAATGGATTCAACAGCCTTAATGCAAGAACCAAACTCCAAAGGCATAAACAACATTGTTGTACAGATTTCCTCAGTCAGTTTTAACTGGGCATATTAGTTAAAAATCATTGGTTAAAAAAAAAAATCCTATTTAGCATAGCAAACCCTCAGACGCTCTTGCTAAATTTGTAACCCATGTGTCTCCTTACCTGCTGGTGCCGGGTGCTAGGGAAGGTGTACTGGACAGAGTGAGTAGGGTAACGACTCTGTTCTGTGCTGAATGCTCCTTGGTTAGGAGGGTAGCCTGAACTTGACATTATCAGAGAAGAAGTCTTCACAAAGCTGTGAGATCAAGACCAGCAAGCAATCATGTTTCTAGGAAACCGCCTAAAGGAAAAAAGATCACTGATAAGCACTGAAGTACCAGATGTACTCACAATACATTACAGCCATAGTCACCTAAGCAAAACAACCATTACCAGTAAAAGCTTTTTCCTGATGTATTTATTTAATAGGTTACTCTAGTTTGAAATATGTTAACGGGTCTTAAATGGGCTCAAAATGAGACATGTCAGCATTGTCTACACAAAGATTTGAGGATTATGTTGCAGGAATACATCATTTTACCAGTTACCAGTTGAATTAGGAGGATTTTAAAAGAAAAGTAGGTCACTTTAAATAGATGTTAGAGGTTATAATAGCGTATAGATGGACTCCTCATTTACAGTAAATTTCTTAGCACAATGTGAAGTTCATTTTCTTTTCTTCTACTGAGTTTTTTGGATACTGTGAACTGTTTCTTACTTTCAGACTCAGGTAGTCCTAGGGCTGCATTACTCAGTGCCACCCACAGTCCATTAAACCACAGTGTATTCGTCAGGCCCTAAAATACTATCACCGCCTAACAGCAGCTTGACAATAGTTATCAAAAAAGGAAGTCATAAAGAAAAAATAAACACTATTTCAATTGAGAGCATAGTTTGTCTCACATGGGATGCCAGATACAGAATATACGATGAAGCCCCAAAACAATCCTGCTTAGCTGGCATTCAACGACTGCTTTGCCTCTATTGTATCCTCCAGCTACAGATTTACAGTGAACACTGAAATGCACACTGATCAGGGGAAGATTTCAAATACTGAAAAAATCCAGACAAGTTCACTCACAAAGTCCAACCATCTATGAAGCTGTGTATTGTTTCAGCTGCTGAAGATCAGGAGACATTGATTAAACACTGCGCCCATCAGTGCTTCGAGCACGTAAATTCTGGCTCCAACCAAAAGAGCAGGACATATTTTTTTAAACGCAAGATACTTCTCTCTGAGAGCTCAAAAGATGTAATCCTTGGAGCCTATGTACTACATACAGAATTCTATCAGACCTGTAGCAAATTCTAAACCTCTGGTTGAGAGCCTAGCAGACCTATCAGACCTTCAAATAAAGTAACTGTTGATCCCTGCCTGGTTGGCTTCATTTCAAAGCTCATTAATCTGCAGCCTTTCACAAACACCACATGTAAAGTTATACTTCTGAACTGCATTTTCCACTAACAGTCAATAGACAAAATCAGCTCACGAAAGGATCACACACAGTAAGCTATAGAAACAGATTTTAGAGTTTATCTGACATATTTAATCATTCCTATTCTATCTAGCTGGGGTTTTTTCCCCCACCTCTCCATCAAAGAAAGTTCTACCTGACGGACTACCAGAACAATGAGACAAATTTAGATTAACCTCTTAAACCTGACTTTCAGATATCAAAAATTAAAGACAAAACTACAGTTTCTCTTTCAAAGCAATACTACATATCACTAGTTGTGTGCTTTATAGTACCTATGTATCTATTGTAGTACCCATAATTCATATCCAAGTGACAAGTTCTAACAAAAAATTCTTTACCACTACCATTTATTATACTTCATCATTCATACTGCATTCATTAGAGCATATCTTTGCCAATACATGATGGTCTAATAGGTCTGAGTCATATGCTTCCCATTTCATCAAGAAACAGTGTCAGAAAGCAAGCAGTTTTAGCTCCTATACATTGTGATAGTTGCAAGCTATAGTACCTGAACACTCAAACACACTCTTAAGTCCACGTTACAGCAAAAAAGAAAACCTTTGATTTTTCTATCTCAACTTCTCTGAAAGTCCATGTAGAACTATGGCATAAAGCTAACTGTCAGCTCAATCAGATGTTTACTAATGTGATAACTACTCCCATCACAGGCTGGTGAACATTTATTATTAAAAGACCCACAGCTGAAGGATGTTCAAATAATTTAAAATCACAAAAGTACAAATCTTACAGTTTGACGAACTGCTGATGCCCAAACTTGTGTTACCTCACCTCTTCACATACAGTCTTCATAAATACACGGAAGGTGACTAACTGGATTTTTATATGTATGTATGTCTGCTACACCTTAAAAACTTTAGTGAGGAAGAGACAGTAGTAATGGATCTGAGCAAAGCTCCTTTAGTCCCATATGCTGTGACTGACAACAGCCAGCGGCAGGCATTTAAGGAGTACATACCAGTACTTTCCCAACAAACTCTCCAGCCTTCCAGTGCCTCCCAGAGATGCTTCTTCTGACTCAGGGATTCCTTGAGTGGGAGCCCTTCTGTTTAAGATTTCTTAAAGGATTTCTCTTCCATCACTTTGTCAAGCTGTTTTCTGAACTAGTATAAACTCTCAGCATTCACAACTGCTTGCTGCAAGAATTTCTACAGTTTAGTGACACTTCACATGAGAAACCAGTAGCTTTTATTCGCTCTAGACCTGCTACCTTCCTTTGGTATCTCTAGGCTTGGCACTGGAACAGACAAAACATCCATTTCCTATCCTTTTTTTCCCCCCCCATTGCACACATGATTCTGTAGGCTTCTATCACATCTCTTCAGCCACATCTTTTCCATGCTGAAGAATCCCATTCTACTTGACTGTTCCTTGACAACCACTTCCAAACCTTCTCTAGTTCTGTGGTACCCATTCTGAGGCACAGGGAGCCAGAAATGCACACTGGACACTGGGAAAGTATCAATAAATACTCATCCTGTTCTTATTCCCTGAAAAATCTGAAGAATCTGCAGATGCAGAGGGGATGAGGAGAGCAATCATTCGAAAATCACACATGAATACAGGCCAACTACAGCACGACGCAAGGTCCTTTCTAGTTTCTCACTGTCAAGTTGCATCTTCTTATTTTCTCAATATTCTGTCAAACCTGCAAGTTGATCATTAACCCAGGTGCTAAAAGTTCAATCCACACTCACTTTGTATGATGCCATAAAGGCTATTTCTCCATTCACAAGAACTTTAGTCTACAGATTGTTAGGTTTGTGTTAGGACAGTTAGTCTTGAAATCTTCATTGATATAAGAATCTTTCACAACCAACGAGAGGTCTTAACTCTCTCTAGATTCTGTCCTAGAGGTGGAAAGATAAAGGGGAGGAGGGAGGTACGGCGCATAAGCATGAACATCCTTCATCCATCCAACAATGTTAATTCAAACCCCCTCTCTCATAACCTACAAGTTTTATATAATACAGATGAAAACATTCAGTCTAATGGCCTCCCCACTGAGAACTGCAAGTATGACCATGTTTGTAGCACCATAATAAAATTTTTTTTAAGTGAAACAAAGAAAAGCTGCCAACAGAGGAAGGCAACAGAAACAGCATTACAGGTTACAGTTGTGGTCAATAAGAGAGGTAGGAAGTGAAGAGGGGAAATAAAGAAAAAAATATGTTATCTGTGGTGGGGGTGCACTCTTCTTCCTCCCCAAGAGAATGGACACAACAGGGGAAGAGATAAAGGCAGTAACAGCAGAAGAAAATACATGGGTACATATTGACAGTTACAAGGTGGGGAAGGAACTGAAGGATGGGGATTCCGCATAAGATCTCATTTCTCTCAAGACAAAATCAACACATAAAATGACATTGAAGTACAATACTCCCTCCCTCTAAGCCTCCTTTTCTTGTTATATTTATACGTGCCTGCATTCTCTCCTAATCTGACCTCTCTACATGCCCTGCAGACCCCATCTTATCTTCCAGTCTCCTATAGTATGAGCTTGTTTATACTCTGACATACAGGGGGAGTTTTGCCTATAGAATTACCACCAATATTCTGCTCATCTCTCCCTGTCTTACAAGCTTAATTCTGCAATTGTGGATGTAAGTACTTGACTTCACTCTTATTTCTCTGCAGGCAACCTTATGGCCTTTCATCTAAAAGCATCTGCCTTTCTCTTCAGCATCTGTTCACATGTATCCAGTGAACTCAGATTATTCTTCATCAATCTATTTCTTGGTGAGTGAGGGCAACGCCAGCTTCCTGCTGTAACCTCTGCAAGTTCTATATGTTCAGATGATGTTTAAATACAGCAGTCTTTTTGCATAAAACTGTAACTGTGTGTGTAGACTGTAAACAATCCCATCCGGGCTTTCCTCACTGCTGTGTCCTTCCATGAGTCATGACCAACTTCATCTTGCTCCGCTCAAATCCAATCAGAATCCTCCTGTAAAGCTCCTCGCTATTAACTCCCTCTGCCTCTCCAATCCTTCCACTGGTTCCCTCTTCTCTGCCAGAACAGAGGCTGCCCATCTTCATTTTCAGCACCCTTGACAAATTACGATACAAGAAATCAACTTCCAGCTCTGCTCAGTCAATGACAGCAAGACTCTACTTTTCTGACAAGCATTTTCATACTTTTTCACGTTACTCTGCAAATTTCAGAGGTTTTTTTACATAAACACTTACCAGAACTGTTACAGATTTTGGAATTCTGCCTTAACGTCTCACAAAGATAAAGTTAGGTCATGAACACTTTCATACAGCTACCAACCAGGCTAGCAAATTGTCTGTCGCGCTGAATACTGACAAATAGAAGGGACAGAAAGAAATATTTCTTGTTTTCTACTTCAGAACCCTGTTCATACTGCTATGGTGTCCCACTTCACTGGCATTCCCAGTCTCTGTGGTAAAACATAACGGATGGGGAAACCCAGTAGTGTCAAATGGAGACTATTAAAAAAAAAAAATGCCGGAGAAGTAGGAGCAAAGAGTTGAAAATGAAACTGGTAAGTCTGAAGATACGTAGCTGAGAAAAAGCAGTGACAAAAGTAACAGTTTCAGGAACTGTGAAGAGATACTAGGTTCTGTGTCAATTTGAGCTTTTCGGGCAAGGAAATGATTTAACGATGTTTACTTCTAAAGGTATGACAATATTTTTCTCTTTGGCCAGTTCAAACTACTGAACAGATCCAACTCAGACTTCCCCGTAAAAGCTACTGTTCACACTTACATTTGTCATATGCAGAGAACTTTGAGTAAGTTACAAATAGTTTAGAAACAGATATTATAACAGTCATAGCGTAAT